TTCACAGGCTTGACCATCCATCCCTTGTGATAAATACACACTGAGAAACACGACTGTGGGGGAACACTGGGAGGTGCTTAGGTACAGTTTTTTTTAGTTTCACGGACATCCGACGTCGGCAGTTAAACAGTGCCCTGATCAACAAACAAGCGGTATTGTTGGTCGTTTGTATTTATGAGTGAATTATGCATGCACTTACAGGTGTATTTTTGTCTGATGTTTGTTGTAATGTTCATCATTTTGTCAATAGTCATCCTTGAGCTTCAGCCAATATCATGTCCTCACCCGCCGTCATCGTTAAGTTGCTGCGGTTCTTGGACCATAATTTTTTCAAATGATTGGAGGAGTAAAATTTGTGTAAAAGAAAAGTTCAAATGAGTAGCCTTCGCTATGTAAATTTTATTTTAACAGCAAACTTGGGATCAATCATTTGCCTAGTTGCACTATATTTTTCCTCCTGTGGATTGAGCGAGGTTGTATCGGGTCTGAAACCTAAAGTGAAAACTTTGGTAAGAATTTTCTCCTGCAAACTGAATGAGGTCGTATTGGGCCTGGAACCTACAGGGGATACTTTGGTAAAATGCTAGTGACGGTAATTTATCAGAAGGACGAGCGCAGGGCGGTGGCGCCGTGGACGCTTCGACGGATGTCTGGAATGATAATGATAATGCAGATATCTCTTCTGAAGATGGATCAGTGGTCCGATGATGATGACGGCTTCTAAAATGTATGCATGTGGTGTGTGTTCTAGGTAGGCTGCACCGGCTATGGGTCCCGATAAGTTATGTGGGTGGATCGGCGACGACACTGGTTTTAGATATGGGGGGTGAGAGCACTCTATATTATCGAGTTTGTAGGTGTGAGTTGTGGCTTCGGGTGAATTGATGTATATCCTTGTCAGATCTTCGTGGAATAATTAATAAAGATGGATGTATGCATCGACTGATGCAGAGGCAGGGAGTTTAACCTCCTTTTCTAAAAAATCAGAAGGTCCAGCAGTGACAAAGTGGTAAGATGCTTATACATGTTTTTAGTGTGTAGTGAGTAGTCTAGGTAATCATACAATTATGTATAATGGCCTCTTTGAACCAAAAGATTTTCATAATAATTATGGAGGACTGGAATTTGTATTTTTTTTAGGGATTTAGAATTTATTTTCTATGAGGTTGTTTTGTTTTGTAGGACTATACCCATAGAAACTTTTTCTAACGATTGTACATTTGTACCACACTTTTCATAAGAATTTTTTAATTGACTCAAACTTCTTGGGATCATCCTTTGTTTCTCTAACGATGCAAATTCAATCATTGGGGCAATTTCAATCATGCAAAATATAAGTGGACATGTCGTCACAATCCTACATTCTCTATTTCAGCGTTTTCGGAATGATGTGAGTCAAATGAGGCCCTAGATTCAGTATATTTTTTGTGATTCCAAAGATTTTCTCAACTATAGTAATAAGTTATTTCTGAATGATTTGCAAAAGGAAACACATAAATTAGACAGATCAACGCGTAAGTTTCTACAAAGTCCCTCAGATTTGATTGAAGCAAAATTATGTCTTTGTCCCTTGATTGCTGACACGATTTGGTCGTGAGACTCAAAACAACAAAAGTTGAATAATATAGTACATTTTTCTCAATACAACCTATTGTTTGTATTACAGTCGAGCATATAGGTTGTATTTCTTAGTAGGCACTAGAGGAAACACATAAATTAGACAGATCAACGCATAAGTTTCTACAAAGTCCCTCAGATATGATTAAGGCAAAATTATGTTTTTGTCCCTTGACTGCTGACACGATTTGGTCATGAGACTCAAAACAACAAAAAATTGAATAATATAGTACATTTTCTCAATACAACATATTAGTTTGTATTACAGTATATTTACGAAATTGGATTTTGTTTTATTGCGGAAGCATGTTTCACATTTTCTCGTTGATTTTGAAATATTCAGTCCATCTTTTGTAAATATTAGTAGTCAAAATTAAAAAATGTGTCTTTTAGTCTCACCTAAAACCTCAACTTCAGATGATCAGAGGGGAGATTTATATTGCATTTACTGAATTTTTGTTGCTTATCTGAATTTCCATACTGACTAAAATCTATAAGGCCGGGCTTTGTACACTTCGAGCAATGTCATATTGATGTCTATGCCTATTATGGTGCTCGTCGTGCTGCGACCATGAAGATACACATGCAAAAGAAGATCATGCCCATATGGCCACACCCATATATAATTAGATAATACCCCGTGCATTGTTGCGGAAATTTATAGCAATAAAATTATCAATAATAAAATTAAAATATATGAGTAATACTTCACCACATTCTTGCCATATGAACGGTAAAAAATGTATAGGTAATTGAAGGATGTATGCATGTTATATTGCCTTATGACATTCAAGTTCATTTTTTGTTGAAAATTAAAAAGGAAATCGATGATGTGGAGGACTTGCATGTGTTTGATAATGTGGAGACTTGCATGTGGTAGAAAGTGGACATTGAAGTTCAATTATTTGTTGCTGAAAACGAAATAAAAATTGATGATGTGGGAGGGATTGCATGTGCTTGATTATGCGGAGGGCTTGCATATGATGGAAAGTGAAAAGTGAAAGGGTTATATGCATTTGATGATGTACATTAAAATGGGATCACTTACATAAATATATAGGATAGGATGTGTATCCATATGTCGTGCTTCACTAAATGTACACATAATATCATAAAAAAGGAAAACTGTGATAACTCTTTTGATACAACAACGCAACATATATAGGACCATACTTGTGCCTAACCCATGCGGGACGGATATCACGTGTAACTGTGATCTTCTTCGTGTAAAGGTTCTTATTAAGGGCAACTTATGAGAGATTACTTCAAAATCTACACTCAAGCACTAGTTTATGAGAGACAAAATATGGCATTTCCTACTATAAGAAAAAAAAATTGGATTACTTCAAACACATGACCATTAGAACCGTGCCACTCAACCTCGCTTATGTCACCCTTGAGTACCCGAGCAGGAAATGAGCCACACATCACACATGCTTTCTGTGGCCTACCCACCCTCCTCCTCTATTCGTTTCAAAGGTTATACGTGCACCCGAGGACCCCATGCACCGTTCATCGAACGCGTGTCTAAGTACGGATTTGTTCCCGAAGAAGTATATATATACCCCTACATTCTATCGTGTTGGATTACATGACTGTTTGTTATTCAATTTATCACCGACGAAACTGTCTGGCCTATGCACAGATCCATCCACGCATTCATATATATCTTTCTTTTTCTGTGAAAAGCATTCGTGTATATCCGATAGTTAACATAACGTCTACTTAATCATACCACCTGTAAATGTGTGCTCTTTTTATTTCCTAAATGATTTGAAGATTGCCCACCAAAACTTCCAAATTCAAATGGGTGCTTTTGGAGTCATGAGAAATCGTAAATACCTAAGATCTCCTTGATATGTAATACCACAAAATTACATAAAACTATATATCTCTACTTGCTTAAAAAAATCATAAGGTTCCCATTTCATCTTTCTTCCCATCACCCCTTCGTCAAACCTTTCGTGTATATGATAATCAATCACTTTAATTTACTTACCTTCTGAACCAATTACACTTTAATTTACTTATCAAACTTCTAATCAAAATATAAGATAATTCATGGGCAGAAATTGATAAACATTTATTTACACAATTTTGCATTATTATTGACAGGTAAATCACAATATAACGTACTAGAATATTTATATCTCATTGCAACATATGGCCATTATTTTAGTACTACTTAAAAAAGAGTAGTGTTCCTTTGCCTGCCAGCAGAACACTTCGCTCGACCGGTTCTCCTCCTTCTCACCACGTCCCTTCACCGAACTTTTCCATCCAACCGTTTTTAGCCCCACCACACATATTTTCTGCACCTTCCATACCTAGTCAATCACCTTGATTTACTTACCTTGTGCATCATTTTCACCTTAATTTACTTACCTTTTGCATCATTTTCACCTTAATTTACTTACCAAACATTTATTTACACAATCATTCTCATCGGTTGCAACATCCGCACAATATGAGTCATCGCCTAGCACTGCCCAAAGGAGCGTGCTGCGTGAGCGTTACAAGGCAACCGGTGCGTGACTCAGCCGGTTGGTCATCGTGAATCATTAGGCTTTCTGAATTCATTGGGATAAATCACTCCATAGCACAATCACAACTCATATGAATGATTCCAAATATATATATACTCATATGATTTTTTTTCCAAGAGGTACAAGTAAAATGATTTTTTTAAATAGTGTAGATGTCTAGAGAGTAGAGAAGATCTGCTGACGTTCTATTAAGATCTTTTGTACGAAAGGATCTCAAAATATATGGTGGCACGCAGAATGTATTTATAACACGAGCGCTATGTGGCCTTCCTACCCTCTCTATAGAATGGCACTACATTTATTTTCTCACTAGACAATTGTCGGTCCGTTGCAGCGGGAATACAAAAATTTAGCATGCAATCACAGTGATTTACTACATGTCATCTTATTGTTGGTGTAATTATGCACCAAAAATATTTTAGCTGTCAATTAAATCAATGTAAATGGAACTTCACGTATCTTTTTTTTAGCATATGGAACTTTACGTATCTACTAGCATTAATTTGGGGAGATGCTTGCAAACTTGAAATTCTTATATGGGTAATATAAAAGCCCAAGGCAAGGATGTTTGGAAAATGTATCATCTTTTCGTCAGCTTTGACTCTGGGCAATGGGCATGACCTCCGGCGGCTCCTCATAGACTCGTCGTAGGTGGCACAGTTGTATAAAGCGCCGTTGCCCACTCGCGTCGACACGACTGTCGCGGCTGCGGTCTCGCGGGCTTCCACTCCTTCACCAACCACACTCCTCTCCTCCTCTTCCCCGGGAGGTCCACGCCCGCCCGCTCACAATCCCCGCCCCCGGCCTCCCCTCCCACCACCTCCCGCATCCCCCGCCATGGCCTTCTCCACCCCCAACGCCCTCTCCGCTTCCGCTTCCGGCCCCGCCTCCCCGTTC